GAACTGGTCATTCTAAGCATGAGACACGGTAGTTTCTTGCTATTTTTTGGCTCAGATTTTATGCCTGAATGGTGCTGAATGTCTGGGCTCATGTGTGATGTTTGATGAGACTGTCTATGAGTCTGCGGAGGAGACAGTCAACCATGGAGCCAACATGGTGTCGGAAAGTGCAGAAGCTGCAGGAGGTGATGCAGCAGAAGGTGATGGTGGAGCTGGTCTGGCAGAAGGTGATGGTGGAGCTGGTCTGACTGATGAGGATGAGTCTGACCCCACGGTTCCCTTTGAACATGGAGATCCAGTGGGAAATTTCCACTTGCACATGTATGCTGTCCCACCACCACCGCCAGGATACAAGGCACCCCCAATTGCGCTCATGATGGTGCTTGATGGTGCTGGCAAGGGTGGCAAGGCAGCCCCAGTGATGCTTGATGGTGCTGGCAAGGGTGGCAAGGCAGCCCCAGTGATGCTTGATGGTGCTAGCAAGGGTGGCAAGGCAGCCCCAGCGATGCTTGATGGTGCTGGCAAGGATAGCAAGGGTGCCAAAGCACCCTCAGTCGCGCTTGATGGTGTGTCTACAGGTAGCTCTGGCTCTGCCTCTGAGAGAAGCCTGGCTAGCACACATGAGAAGGCCCCGGAGAGCAACCAAAAGGGCAAAGGCTGCAAGGGCAAAGACGTGGAGAGATTGCCTCAATGGATACTTTTGAAGGATGGGATGTTGCCTGCACATCCTGATCATGAGTCGGATGCTGAATCTTCGGACCCCATTGAGGAAGAAGAAGGAGAAGAGCAGCTGAGTGTACCATCTAGTTTCACAGGATGAGCCTGTGGCTGTTGGATCAGACACATACATGTTGTGAAATCAACTGCGTTTCACCAATGTGGCCCCGAACTCTCTCAGAGAGCTTGCAATGGTTGGATTTCACTGATAGGACAAATTTTAATTAGACATTTTCATCAAAGCTTGGGTGACCGCCACAGCACATAGAGCCAAGTACTGATTGTGTGCAAAAAAAGCATTATTGGCTTTCTGCAGTTGTGCAAGTGTCATTTGAGCACAGGACCACAATCCTGGTTGCAACCAGTTTGCAGGCCCCATCCTGTGGAAGTTCAATGACAGCAAATGTGGCAGGCTTACTTTTTTTACCTGATGTTTTTTTGTGCACAGCCTTTCATTGCACACAGGCTTGCTGCAAAGCAAGCAGTACAGGCTTGCTGCAAAGCAAGCAGTACAGGTTTGCTGCAAAGCAAGCAGCACAGGTTTGCTGCAAAGCAAGCAGTACAGGTTTGCTGCAAAGCAGGCAGTACAGGCTTGCTGCAAAGCAATTGAGTCTGCTGCAAAGCCATCAAACAATTTCCAGCAGAGCAAGCAAAGGTTTGCTGCTGAAAATTTGCATCTCTGTTTGAGGCAGTGTGTGAAGAATGATCTGCACTATGTGAGCTATTACGAGGCACATCTCTGGTGAACTGACTTTGCCACTTCTTGGATCAGGTGTTCAGAGCTTTGTCACTCACTTTGTGGGAACACACACTTATGGAGTTTGTAAATTTGACATTGGGTGTCTAGGCTCAAGCACAGCAGGAAGTCTCAAGTTCTGGCTGCAGCCTTTGCCATGGATGGAGCAAGGAAGATCCCAAAGGATGAGTCTGAGGCAAATGAACAATTTTTGCACAGAATTGTTCAATATACAGAGGAAGAGGCCCAACGACGGTTTTTGCAGACAATCACTCACCATACTGCTGTGTCCCGTGCAGAAGCTAAAGGTGTAGATTGCTGCTTGGTTCCCTACTTTTTGTTTGTTTGTCAGTCTATTTCATACTATGGTTGTAGTTCACTTCAAGAGTGTTTTTTTGGTATGCTGTGGTTGTTGTTTTCATTGCTGCTGCTGCTCTTGTTGTGGATGATTGCATCTGAGGTGGACCACATCCATACCGTATGGACTTTGAGCCTATTCATGATGTTGTCCTAAGACGTTTGGAAAAAGAGAGGCACATGGTGGACCCCATGAAGGACACAAAGGATGAGGATGATGATGATGATGATGATGATGGCAATGGACAGCACGAGGGGACACCTGCCATCATGGAGAAGATCCATGATGAGGAAACTACTGTGAAGGAGACAAAGGAAGACAGTGCCCACCAGAATGAGGTGACACCTGCCGTGAAGAAGATGAAGATCAACTGAGCCTCTGAGATCTGTGCCCTCCACCAGTTGAAAACAAGAAAACATAGTATGCCAACATCATTCATGACATCTTAGTGAGAGTTTCCAGCATTGAGCTTTGAGCATACCAGGTTGGTCTCACTTGAGATTTTTACAGATTGGGTTGAGTTTTGATTAGTGGCAGGCAGCTGGCTTTGGCAATGGCATCCACCATCAGTGGGGTCCTCAGCTGACTTCTGGCAGTCTGTGATACTCTTAGGTGGGTCATTTCACCCAAGCAGCTTTTTGTTGAAAGAACCACCCTGACAGTATTGCAAAAGAACATGCTGTCATACCTTTGCGTTAAAAAAGAAAAATGTTAGGAGATGATTTGGGGAAGAGGTTGTTTTTTCAACATGTCATGCAAAATTGCTGGAATTTTGGTTTCATCCTTACAATATGTCACAATGTGTTTAATTATATTTCAATGAACCTCTGGTGTGATCAGGATGTCAAGCATGAAGTGACCTCTGGGGGAAAATATATAACATGCATTAGTTTCATGTTTCAAGTAGTGGTTGCCTCCCATACATGCTTCAAGCTTTGTCTTAGGCACAAATCAATTTCATGGAGAACACGGACTTCACCTATGTAAGTACTGCAAGGTTCTGGTTCTGCAAAGAACTTGAAGTCAGTGCTGAAAAACACCAGGGAGCTGCAAAGCTCCCAAGGTAGGGTGGGGTGAGTGTGGAATGCTTTGCAGTGTCTTGAACATGGATGGTTGGCAGTGTGCATGTTTAATATTTCTTTGCTGGTGCCTTTCAGCATTCATTGCTGCATCATTGCTCTGAGGGGTCTGAATGTCTTGCAACATTTGTTGAACATGCTTTGCAGCACGGGTCTGAATGTTTTACAACATTTGTTGAACATGCTTCGCAGCACGGGTCTGAATGTCTTGAAACATTTGTTGAACATGCTTTGCAGCACGGGTCTGAATGTTTTACAACATTTGTTGAACATGCTTCGCAGCACGGGTCTGAATGTTTTGCAACATTTGTTGAACATGCTTGGCAGCACGGGTCTGAATGTTTTGCAACATCTGTTGAACATGCTTCGCAGCACAGGCCTGAATGTTTTGCAACATTTGTGGAACATGTTTTGCAGCTTTGTTCGATTTGTTTGCAACATGTGGAGAACATGATTTGAACAAATCAATATATAACAACAATAACAATTATAGCAATAAACATAAATAAAACAATAAAACCAATAGTTATCAATGGACATAGAAACAGTCATAGCAACACTAATAATAACAAAAATACTATTTGTGCACTGCGGCATGCTAACATGTGTCTCTGTATGCATTTGTGTGTGTGTTTTTGAGTGTTTGTGTGTATGTGTGTCACATGTGCCAATGAGTACACAAATTAAAGGACCGGATAACCCCACAAGTCAACTTCTTCCAACAAGCAACAAAAGAAAGGCAAAGACGGCATGGGGTAAGCAAGAAAGAGAAAAGAGATGGTGAAGGATTGGTGTGGAGTAAGTTATGTGTGGACGAGTATGTGTGAGTAAGTTGTGTACGGATGAGTTGTGTTTGTGGGTGAGGTGTGTGGGTGTGCGTGTGTGTGTGTGTGTGCGAGTATGTGTGTGTGGTGTGCGGCCACGATCAAAGATGCCACACGCCAGGAAGTGCGGCGAAGGGCAATCGATGCGTGACCATTGATTATGTGTCCGCAAACGTACAGCGCAGACCATCACGAAAACGGATGGCCCACGACTGGCGTTTGGATGATGTGTGTGTGTGTGTGTGTGGGTGTGTGTGTGTGTGCGTGGGCGTGTATGTGTGCGTGCGTGCGTGCGTGCGTGCGTGTGTGTGTGTGTGTGTGTGTGTGTGTGTTTGTGTGTGTGTGTGTTTGTCTGTGTGTGTGTGTTTGTCTGTGTGTGTGTGTGGGTGTTTGTCTGTGTGTGTGTGTATGTGTGTGTGTGTACGTGTGTGTATGTGTGTGTCTGTGTGTGTGTGTGAGTGCGGGTGTCGGCGTGGACCATGTACGCGATGAGGTCAGTACCTGGCAGGTAGTATCAGAAGATGCGATCACGCTGAAATTGCAACAAAACAGCTGTCCATGGGCAGTGCAGAATTTAGCCTACAACGCTCCTGTTCCTCTTGGCTTGTCAACTACTGCCCCACGACACCGGTGCAGACAAGCGCATGAGCAACAAACACAGCTGCACCTTTCGAAGTTTTGCCGCTATGATTCATCGGATAACGCATTTGCTTCTCGCATCAACTATCGCACAGTGCTTCAATGTGGCCACAGGAGCTATGGAAACTACCTTGCCTCAATCCATCGGATGACACACTTCCTTCTCGAACAACTGTCGCAGTGTTATAAACTCTCTTCAAGAGGAGAGGCATCATCTTTGCACGGTGCATCAATGTGCCCACACAAGCTGTTAACACAAACTTCAATATCGCAGGCATCATCTTCGCACATTGCATCAATGCGCCCACGACAGCTGTTGACAGTGTACCATCCCATGACATGAAGCTCTCGCGACATCTGCCTACATGGCATCATAAGGCAGTAGAGCAAAATACAAATAATGGTAGCTACCTCGCCTCAATTCATCGGATGACACACTTCCTTCTCGTAACAACTGTCGCACTCTGATAAACTCTCTTCAGCAAGCATCATCTTCGCACAGCGCATCAATGTGCCGACACAAGCTGTTAGTATAAACTTCGCTATCGCAGGCATCATCTTCGCACATTGCATCAATGCGCCCACGACAGCTGTTGACAGTGTGCCATCCCATGACAGGAAGCCGAAAGGAAGCTAACGACCAGAAGCTATGGTTCAGTGCGACGTTGGCACTTAGAAAATGTCCCTTGTCGACATTCTTCTGCTCGCTTCTGAAATGCGGCAACTTTCTCAGCGATCGCTGCTGGTGGCCCACGTTCGAGAACATCCCGTGGCGGTGGACGTAGCAATAATAAATCACCCAAAGCCGTCACGCGGCTGAACATGACGTAAAGATGGAGCCACCAATTGTCGTCGTCCATCTCTGGCAAACGCGCACAATCAACCACTGTGCCTTTCCGCAAAGTCAAACCCTGCGACCCTGTGCTTGTAAAGAAGTTTGCGTGCGTCATCCTGAATCCACAGCGGCGCACCTGGTAATTCTGCGTGCTGGAGAATTTCACGACAATTTCTTCCGCAGGCAAAAACCAGAAGCTGCGAGCCAACTTTTCGGCCGTTGCATCATCTGGGACATGTTGCCGGCATAAGTCCATCAAATTCATCCAGTCAGAACATCCCTGGAAACCATCAATGGACAGCCAAATGCCTGACGGCAAATACCGTGGCGAAAACAGATCTCCACCAGCGCAGTGAGAATAGCGTCGGCGATCTTGGCTGTGAAACTCAAAATCCATGATGGTGCCAACGGTGTCTTGAATCATTCCTTTGTCAGCATCCAACTTCGCGATAAGTCGCACCTGCATGCCGACATGACAGGGAAAGATTCCATGCATATGACCAGTGCGGTAGGGATTCGGACGGTTCAAGAAGCGGAAAGCAGTCTCCTTGTCCAGGTCACTGCACACATCAGCTGCCTGAAGCAAAACTAATGGATGTGCCAGGCGGACAGCATCCATGAGCGCTCTGCGGCACATCATGCGACCCAAAGAGGCCCAGTAAATCGACATGCCGTATCCTTCGCGAAACTTGGCTTCGTCGAACCGTGCATCTTGCACACCAGGAGAAACATCTACCGCAAACCTTTCCTGCAACCTTGCCCACAACGAATCGGGAAAGCGTTTGCCAAACCGCATGTGCTGCAAAATGTCAATCAAAGGGTCACCAGGTTTGAATCGCATTGTGCCACGGAGCTCGAAAACATCTGGAATCGAGCCAAAAAGTTGCTGTGCATGCTGCACCTCTGCTGGCACGTCCTGGTAGACATAATTCCCATCGTCGTCCTTCGCTTCCAAGTCGTCCAGCAACGACAACTGCGCAGTAGGACGAAGCTGAAAGAAATCACCAAGGTGCAGAACAATCGGCACGCGACCAAAAGCACAACCAGTTTTTGTGTAGGTGTGTCGGTCCACTTTGAAAACGACACGACGACCCAGCATCGCTCGATAGTCCAACATGTTGTACAACAAAGCAGATACCATGCTGATCTCCTCCACGACCAACACGCGAACCGAGCCCCAGAGTTTTTGTAGCGCGTTTTCTTTGGAGCCGGCCGCCATGTTGCTGTTGGTCAGGGACTGGACACCGAGCAGCGCGGCTCCGTGTAATGTCCTTGCCCGCACCTGCTCTGTGGAGATGTTTTTGGCCTGCGCATTCTTGGCGGCCACAACCATCAGGGTCTCTGCCTCATTGTCTGCTGGCCAAATGAAATGGACCACTGGAAAAATGATATTCTGCACGATGTGCGTCTTGCCAGAGCCGCCTTGACCCAGAAGGAGCATGTGGTACACATGTCGCTTGTCGGGCGGCTGCTCCGCGACTTCTTGCTCGTAGACAACGTCGAGCACCTCGGCAAAGCGCATCATGAAAATTTCCTGGTCCTCGTTCAAGCGCCTGTTGGCAGGCAATGCTTGAATCATAGCTTTCACTAAGTCAGAAGGCTTGCTGTAAACCCGTTGCTGGCTGAAGCGAACACAATCAGCAGGCAGTCGAGGTAAACATTTCTTCAAAAAGACGTGGCGGTCGTCCTCGCCCGTGTCCATGGGCGCTGCTTCCTCTTCTGCGACTGCTCCGGTACGTGGTCCATCCAAGACGTCTGCTCTTCGGTCCTGATCAGCAATGTTCTGACGGCCACCAACGCATAATTTCAATCACAGATTTCAAACGACACAGAAACATTAAACAAAAGTTCTTTGTGAACACAAACCAAGCAGCTGGTGACAAGCTGTTCAATGCATGAAACACGGCATGCAGGTCGTGTTTGCTGCAGCTCTTCCACTTAGCAGCCGCTTCGAACAAATCATTCTTGATCCACGCCTCCTCCAGAAAATCTTTTGTGTACTGATTGTGTCGCCCTTGGCATTCGAACAGCAACAGTTTCTTCTGCTCTTCTGCGTTCGCTTGGAACACGATGGGTTGAAAGACTTCCGATGGCTTTGTCGCAACACTAACTTCCATCTCTTCCTCTGGATTGTCAGCAGCCTCATCGTCGTCCTTCTCTCCAGCCGTGGTGATCTTCACGTACTCTTCATAGAGCCGCGCATCAGTGTCGCGGCGCCGCTTCGGTTTCTGTTGCCTGGCTCGCGCCAATCCCTCCAGATGCGCAATACGACTTTCGGCCAACATAGAAGAATATTGTGCTGCAGTGCACCGTGGCTTCAACCGATCAGGGTCTGTGTCTGGAGTTGTCACTGTGGTGCCTGTCGCCAAACTCAACTTCTCTTCCAGCAAAGCAACCATTTCAGCTGTCTCCCATAAAGACGGATATTGTTGACGGGCAGCAAAGCGGTATCTGGCGATCGTTGCTTCTCGTTTCATGTCATCCTGCCATTCAAGCAAAGATCGGGTGAAGGCAACGGCAGCCGTTTCCGACATATCCTCTCCAGGGACGCGTTTTTTTGGTGTGGAATAGTGCTTAAAAGCTTCCAACACCAATGTCTCCGCATCCTGCTCGACGTTCTCGTCGGCAAGGATTGCGGTAGGACGACATTGCACCTGTTTGTACATAGCGTTGCGCTCAGAGTCCAAAGTCAACGGAGGCATTGTGAAGCCTTCAAACATAGGAACACGAGGCTCAGTACTGATGCGTTGGGCATGAGTCTGGTACAACTTGTAGGCTGGGTCGAAGTACACATCAACATAACGAGGTATGGCTGCTCGAACCGACCGCTCTGCGCGCGGCGGCAACTCGATGCGGTAGACCCACATACCGTATGTTGACCAACTCAATCCTGCGACGACGAAAACACACAGTGTAACACCTTCCTACTTCGAAACTTTGATGCAAACTCCAAAAACTACTCGTGCAAAAAAAACACAAAAAAGAACAAGAAAAGACCCATCTGGCCTGCAAGCAAAGGATGTGACCCACGAAACAGATAATCCTCCAGACTGCTTGTAGTCACTGCCAACGGCCTCGACGACTTCAACAAAGATGATCCCTCAAGAACAGCAACATCTTCTCCAGTAGCTTGCAAAGCTCTCAAGTTGGTGGCCTCACCCGATTCAGTGTCGTCTCGTGCCACGGTTTCTGTCACCTGGTGAATCTTTAACAGTTCTTCTATGAATGTCAATTTTTGTTGGGCCTTTTTCCCTGGACCACCTCTGTCCAAATCAACCGATGAATCGTACACAGCAAATGCTTCGTCCAAATCAGCACAATTTTGCCCATGAGGACCAACATAAACATAGACACTCTCACCAGTTTCTTGGTCTACGCGTGCAACCTTCTTCCAACCAACCAAGGTCACTGGATCAAGGCCATCGCGACGAAACACCACTGGATCAGAAGCAACATCCAGATTCTCCTTCGGTCGCAAAACACTCTCGCCATACTGCTGCCTCCAAGCTTCCACAGCGAAAAAAATTGCCTTTTTCACATATAGCTTCCAGGTGCGATGCGACGCAAAGGTCATGTGCTGAAACAACAAAGGGAAGATGAGTTCACTGGCACTTTTCCAATGACATCGACGATAGGAAGACGACAGGCGAGACAATGTCTTCAATGTTTCGGCAAAAAGCACACCACGTCTGCCTGCAACATGCTCGCCAGCCGCGCGCGCAGCTTCTGCCTGCTTCTCACGGTCTTGTTCGCGCTCCTGCCGTTCATTCTCCAATCGCTCAATGCCTGCGCAACAAGAAGACGTGTTCGGACATGCATATGTCACACACACACACACACATATATATATATATGGAGGATGCGTGGCAGACGTCTTCTCACATTGAGTTAACGTTGCAACGTGGCCCGCACTACAACATCACCAGCAACAAAAAGACGTCTTCTCACATTGAGTCAACGTTCCAACCTAAAGACAACAACAGCAACAACAACAACAACAAAAACAGCAACAGCAACAGCAACATCGAACTAAAAAACAAAACATCTTCTCTATGAATGCATACAGGGAAAACAGAAAGTTCCAAAACAATATACAACTTTCTGCAGTCCTTTTTGGAGCTCTTCCAACATACCAGCTAAACCAGGTCCAGGCTTGGTGGTATAGCTGTTGATGTAGAAGCCGCTGTTGATGCCATCACAGAATGCTTCACTGATACCGCAGCGGATGGCTCGTGTGAGTTCAGCGGTGGCATCGTCTGTGTCTTCCGCGTTTGCCATGCGCACATCTTGTTCTTGGTCTTCTGCTGGCGGCATTGGCGCGTCCTCATCTTGTGCGTCGCTGGTGACAGGCTCGCCTTCTTTCTCCATGAATTGTTGATGAGCCGTCAGCCAAGCAGATCGAAAGTCTGGCGCCCAATCTCTGCGACTTAACCATGACACTGCAGTAGTCGGCGCGTCAGAACGAACCTCATAAGCTTTGCCATTCCATTCATACCAAGCCATGTAACCCAAGGAATCAGTGAAGCCAACATGGGGCAAATGCTCGTCGGAATCTAACCACAGTGCAGGATCAAGCACACGCCTCATATCTTGCAAATCCAAGTTGTGACGACCGGCGACCAAGCCGCCATAACAAGTCTGACACTCGAAAGGCGTCAGCTGAATAGGGCGCATGCGACCTTGCATGCCGTAATCAGCTTCTGCTTCTGATCCAATGTGAATGCTTGGACGCAATGCCTTGCCCTTGCGTCGCACACGACAACCTTCGAAGACATTCACCACGTGGTAGAAGCCATGCCTGCAGATCTTGAAGCGCACGGAGCTCGCATCAGAATATTTGTAGCACGATTCGCTGCAGGCATGCCGTAGCAGCGTCGGCATCAGACTATGCAAGTCCTGAACAGCATTACGCACTCGAGCAACAAATCTCAACACATGCCATTCTTAACAAAACCATTATATGGCACGACTCTAATCAAATCTTTTCCATCGATGCCCTGCCTCTGCAAATGCGAGCTGCCACGCTGCGGCGTCAATGTCCGCAGTATCGGCTGCGCAGAGTACACTGCGCAGCCGATACTGCGGTGTTTGCGCCACCGCCAAGTTGTTGATTGGCTGACTGAAAATATTGGGCAACAAACCTGAGCCATCATCCACCGGCACCAGCGGCCGTCTCCAGTCAGCTTCTGCAGCGGACTCCAAATACTGCTGCTGTTCGGTTGTCAGCTCCGGCATTTCTCGCAGCAAGATCAAATCACTGCCGCCGTCGTACTTCGACAGGTTGCGGGCCACTTGACTGATGCCAACGCTCTTCGACATGGAGTTGCCGTCGAAGAGGCGTGGCGCCGCTTGCACGGAGGCTTGCGACAAAGACTCGAAACTGGCAACTACCATTTGCATAAAATGCTTCAAACGTAGTTGGAGTTCCACTTTGTTGTGCTTCAAAAGATCTGCGAGCTGTCCCATAACATCCAAATGACCGCATAGTAACCAGACCAGAACATGCGGATGCAAGGAGCCGCGCCCTTGGGCTTCGATTTCGCCGCGGAAAGCGGCGACCGGGCCCAACATGCCGGCGCCCGTGGATGCAGCGGCCGCCCCATCGCTGCACCACTCTCGCGCAAACGCGCGCACACCGCCGCGGCGACAATCCAACGTCTCGGGGCGAACGTTCAGCACGTGCTGCAGGAACAAACGCATCAGAAACTCGAATTGCAGAGTCTGGGCGACCGGATCTTGGGCAAGGCGCCGCATCATATCCCGGTACTTCGGCAGCGTCTCTGGCATGTCAGCTGCCACTCCGCCCAGATCCACTGTTTCTCCTTGAATGACCAAGAGCAAAGGATGCTGAGTGTCTGCAATATTCGGCGTCAAGAAAACCAACGGAGGACCAAACATCTCCATGTAAGCCCACCCTTCGTGGCGACAATGTCTACGATGTCCATCTGTGCCGACAACATTGGCGGACGCAGCCTGCATCGCCTCGAAGCAAGCTTTGACCTTCCGAGGCACAGCATCATTCTTCAGCACTTGCTGCAGAGAGTCACCCCACGTTGGTTCAACCACTCTGGCAGCAAGTGCTAAATCTGATGCTCGCAACTCTTGCAGGTTCTTCGCGAAAGCCATACCACCATTTTTCAAAAAGTTGTACGAAGCATTGCGTTGATCGGTCAGACGACAAATGGTTGACATCATGTGCAAAGCCACCCAATCTCCTGTAAATCGATTCTTGACAGGGGCCGTGTATGGAGTCTCATCACTGTCCAGAGAATACACCATCTCCTGATTTGCTGAAACTAACATGCAAACGGAAACAGAAAATTGACTTTATCATCACCCGCAAACCCCAAACAATCACAAACAAACAATTCAACAGCCCACGTCCTCACGCCGTAGCATACACGCCGTCCATTCTGCAGTCGACAGAGGTTCTTCGCGGTCAAACAGATTCGAAGCGTCACCATACCGCCAGAGCCGAGGTTTGGCCATGCTCCAAATCTTCCAATCGAAGAGACTAAGTGGCTTCTTGTCACGAGCAACCATGAGGTGTTGCGCTTCGTATGTCTGTGACTGCTCTTCTGGTGCATTTTCTTCAGGTAATAGCCAAGGGGATTTGCCCATCACAGCATCACGAAGCTCCACCTCCAATTTGCGACGCATGTCTTGAGTGGACAACTTGCGGCAGGTCTCTTGAATCTCATCACAAAGTTTCTGAATTCTTCTGCGGCCTAAATGATCCAGCAACACCGCATCATCTTCCATCAACGACGCCATCTCAACGGCAACAGAACGGGCACCAGCCGCTTCCAACTCTTCCAGTTTCTGCAACATGATTGCGACACGACTGGACACATCAGTCTCGTCGTCATTGAAGTCCTTCACTTCCGGCTCCGTCGCAAAGACAACTTCATCTTGACTGCACGAGACGTGACCGTCAGTGGCCTGGGCGGGCCCTTCTTGCCGCATGGTGCCCGGCCCATCGCGACCAACTGGCACGGTCAAAACACAATCCAGAACAACCGGCGGAACAACATCATCTTCGCCACCAAGCCATGCAGTCAAGCGTTCGCTGTCGATCTGCGTCACTCCTCCAGCATACACCACATTTGTGTCCTGTAGAACTTGAGCTTGCTGGAGAAAACGATCTTTCCGCAAACGGAGCTGCACGATCTTCCGGATTGCTTCACGGCCATGATCAACATCATCTTCGACAGGCAGATCGGTGCAGAACGTAATGGCCAATGCGTCGTTGAGCTTCTCAGGAGGCAGAGACTGAAGAGCGTGCTTGGCGTCGCCATTGTGGAAGAGCACCGAGGAACCCACGTAACCAGTCTGCTGGTAAACGTGGTCCCATTGCCGCTCGGTGGTCGCCTGTGCCGTTTGCGCACCACCAGCTCGAAGCACCACTTTTGTGGCAACGGTGCGGGCAAGAGCTAAACACATCTCGTGGGTCATGTTGGCATCCCACAGCAATGGATCGATGCGTCCCAGCCAGAGATCGTTCGCGAGAGCAAACTTGCAGAGGCGCGGCTTCTTCGGAGCGAATGCTTGATGGCAATCGCTGCACACATGGACGGGTTCCTGGCCGCGTGCCGCAGCTGCGGACACTTGCCGTTTGTGTAGCAGAACCAACTGCGAGGAACCGTCAGGGCAGCAAACTTGGACGCCGGACGCTTGCAGCTCTGTCAGAGGGATCTTCGGCCAGCGTTGGTGGTATCGATCCACAGACAACAGCGTCCAAACGGCAGGTGAGTTCTGCATGAAGCATTGCTCACCTGCGAGCTGCACGGGCCACATCTCCTCCGACCAAAACCATCGGGCGCAAAATGCGCACCCGCGCCCGCCGCGGAGGTCGGTCAGATGTGGCCCTTCCCAATCCATGCTGGCATGCCGAAGAAAAGTGCTGTAGTTGCTGACATAGTACCGCACTTCACTGCCAACTACGACATGCGGGCACAACGATTGCAAGCATAGCATAGCATTCCGATATTTCTGCAAACCACCATGCTCTTTGACAATGTGCTCCAGTAGACTCGCGCGATCATCAAAGCCAGCATCGCACAAATGACATGGTTGACGAGGCATGACCAGTGCCTCCATCGGCCAGACCCGCAACGCTTCAGTCTCCCGCGTGCGGTGCAGGGCATGATTCTCTTTGAATCTGAGGAACGGATTGTCCTCGTCAGCCCACTTGTCATCTCGTGAACCAGTCATATTGGAAGATCCATTGCCACCAAAAGCTTTGGACTGCCTTGCACGGCTCTCTCGGGTACGACCTGCACGGTCGTCCTTCTCCGTTGCGCCTGCGCGAGCAACACAGATTTCAGTCATACTGATGTGACTCACAAAGAAACTGTTGCGCGGATCTGCAACATTAATTTCACATCTTGTGATCAAGATCTTGTGACGAGGTTTGTGCCATGTCTTCCCACTTATCGTCGCGACCACAGTCTTCCCACATTGAGTCAACCATGAGTCAGACAGTCTTATAAGGAAACAATCGTCATGACTAGTTCCGCATAAGTAACTCAAATAAACGGAAGGAAACAGTTCCAACACGTCTGTTCAGCCTGCGCGCTGTTGCTGCCGGCCTGCACATGCGAATCAATCGCAAGACTCTTGCTATGGGACCCGGATCTACGATAGAACCACAAGTTTTTCCCATCAAAATTAACAGCTGATCATGTCAATGAAACCTAGCTTTATCACAATCGAAATCAATCTTACTCATTTTACTCAGAATTGAAACATAATCATGTCAATGACACTCATCAGCACTCTTACCGCATTGTGGTTCGATAGACGAAAAGTCCCAACACTTCTGTTGAGCCTGCGCGCTGTTGCGTCCGGCCTGCACATGCAAAACAATCGCAAGACACTTGCCATGGGAACATCGACTTTCATGACATGAGTACCATGAAATTCACGGAAGAAAAGTCCCAACACTTCTGTTGAGCCTGCGCGCTGTTGCTTGCAGCCTGCGCGCTGTTGCTTCCGGCCTGCACATGCAAATCAATCGCAAAACACTTGCTAGGGGAACCTGAACTATGATAGAGCCACAAGCTATTCCCATCAAAATTATCAGATGATCAGATCAATGAAACCTATCTTTATCGCTGGGGAAATCAATCTTACTCATTTTACTCAGAATTGAAACGTAATCATGTCAATGACACTCATCATCACTCTTCCCGCATTCTGGTTCTATAGACTTTCATGACATGAGTACCATGAAATTCACGGAAGAAAAGTCCCAACACTTCTGTTGAGCCTGCGCGCTGTTGCTTCCGGGCTGCGCGCTGTTGCTTCCGGGCTGCGCGCTGTTGCTTCCGGCCTGCACATGCAAATCAATCGCAAAACACTTGCTAGGGGAACCTGAACTATGATAGTGTTTCCGGCCTGCGCGCTGTTGCTTCCGGCCTGCACATGCAAATCAATCGCAAAACACTTGCTAGGGGAACCTGAACTATGATAGAGCCACAAGCTATTCCCATCACAATTATCAGATGATCAGATCAATGAAACCTATCTTTATCGCTGGGGAAATCAATCTTACTCATTTTACTCAGAATTGAAACGTAATCATGTCAATGACACTCATCATCACTCTTTCCGCATTCTGGTTCTATAGACTTTCATGACATGAGTACCATGAAATTCACGGAAGAAAAGTCCCAACACTTCTGTTGAGCCTGCGCGCTGTTGCTTCCGGCCTGCACATGCAAATCAATCGCAAGACACAAGCTATGGGAACCTGAACTACCATAGAGCCACAAACTATTGCCGTCAAAATTATCAGATGATCAGATCAATGAAACCCATCGTTGGCAAATCTCGGTCTTACTCGATTGGATGCAATGAGCAATAGAACGCTCCCATCCGAGCTGACCTGCACGAGCGCGACCGGCTTCTCGACGCTTGCGCTGCAGCGCCGCTGCAAAGCGCCCAAGGCGCGAGCCAACAGCCCTGGCAGCAGCAGTCCCAGGCGGCGCTCCCGCCGCACGCGGCCCAGGAGCATCAGGCCCAGGCGCCACAGTTTCCTGCAACAACCGCGGCAAGCGACGGAGGCAGTCGCTGCCCGCAGGCGGCGCCTGGCGCGCAGGCCGCGCCAGCTGCTGCCGGCGTAATCTCTCCAAAACAATCAGACAAGGCCAAACAGGTCCCAGAACAGAGACGACACTGACCGTTGCATCATTGCATAGTAGCCATTGGTTGTGGGCGCGCACATACGCCACAAAATGATCTCCAGAGACATGCGCCACAAAGCCGGAAACGGTGTAGAGGTAGTTGTTGCCCTGAGGAAAGCACAACGCAACAACTTAACATGCAGCGATCATGAGACAGACACAAACAAACTTAAACATTATCAGCACAAAAATGAACCACACCGTTTCGTGGCAGGCGCCTCACCAGCGGGCGGTGTCACCAACAACTGCGACCAATTCATCCGGCCGCCATCGACGGGCGGCACTTCCAAAATGACAACATCACTGCTCGGCCGGCATGTTGCAAAATGCTCACGCGTCAACTCCGTGAGAGTGACGCCGCGCCGAGCGAGTGCAATGGATGTAGGCAGTACATGTACAATATCACTGCCGTAGACACACCGGTCTAACAGCAAGCGACAGGCTTCTGCTGCATCTGCGCTCTCACCAGGTCGAAATCTTCCTTGGTAGGTTGCATACAGTTGATTGAGCAAAGCAAATGGCGCAACGTAGTCCCAGTCGTCGCTTGCAAGCTTCTGCAAAACATCTTGCACCAACGATCCCAGAATCGATTCTTCGCATTCCATCAACCGAGCAGTGAAAGCATTGTGCAGCGAGCGAGTCCACCGAAAACACTGCAACACGGCATTGAGCCAGCAGCTGTTCCCTAAATTCTTCAAGCCAGCATGCGCCGTGCCGCGCTCCAAGCCACTTGTCCATGCGGGCCGAGAGCCATAATCGAGTCTAGTGTGAAAGCCCAATTCCACCATCCACGCACCTTCGCTGCGGGGTGCTAATGCTTCCACATCCTGAAAAGCAGAGACCAAAAGCTGCACACTCTTCGAGGCCAGCTCAGGGTCGAAATCATCCGCGACATTTTTCGCACGCAGCCTGGCTCGCTTCTGCTGCCGCTGCAGTCCCAATGCATCACGCATCTCAGTCAAAATGACGTCGTCAAACTGAGCTTCGCGGCTACTCCTTGCGACTGCATCAGCAGCCTCCTGCTGCAGCCGCTGAGCCACCATCTGAAGCTCTTCAGTCGAGATCTCCAACGCAGCCTGCAGCTGACGGGCATCAGCTTCAGCAACTGCTTTAGATGATCTGGTAGGAGCACTTGTCTCATGGTTCCTGACACGGGCACGCCAGCCTGAACCATGTTTGGTGACAGACGCCGCAGCACGCACGCCTGCAGCATCTTCGTGCAACCGTTGGGCCACTTTCTGCACCTCTGTGGTCGACGTTTGCTGCGCTTGCTGAAGCAAACGCGCATCCTCTTCGGCAGCTGCTTTGGCCTGCCGTGTCGGACCATTGACAGTTGCTCGGCCGACTTTCACACGAGCACGCCAATTGGAACCATGTTGGGTCACGGACGGTCCAGCGGTCGTGTCCGGGGCAGAAAGCGAGCCCAATAGTCTATCAAAAACTTCTTGCAAGCGTTCACTGGAGACGGCTGCTGCTTCCTCCATTTGCCGCGCATCTTCGTTTGCGGCCACTTCAGTCGCGCGCAGCGGTCCGTTCAACGTCTTGCCGTCCTTCTTACGGCGGGCGCGCCAACCATTAGCAAGTTTTTGCACCGCCATAGCTGCACGAAACAAATCTAAGTTGACTGTGACTATAGTTGGACTTGTAGTATTTGTGGTGGTAGCACTATCTTCTGCAATGTCTGCTTCGGCGGCCTCTTTCCACGTTGGGCGAAGGTCACCAAAGCAGAATGAATTACACTGCACCGATCGTTTCTTTCCACGTTGGGCTAAAACGACCAGAGCAACAAGAGATGATCCTATGACCGCATCTTTACCTTGACTGACTAGTTGTAGTTGTGTTGTAGTGGTATGCGTGCTAGAGCTGTTGTCTGCAACGTCTCGTTGGGCCAAAGCGAGCAAAACAGAACGACATGATGAAAGTTTGCATGCAAGAAACAGCATCTGTCATGTCTGCGCTACACAGCGTTGCTGCAGCGCAGTTCAGCCCTGCCTCTCGACCACAAGCAAGACCAGCACCTGGCCGGAAGTGTGTGTGTGTGTGTGGAATGCAACAGGCCGACAGAAGAAAGTAATTAAACATGCCAAAATCAAACATGCCGAAGCACGCGGAACGAAGAAACATGCCGGAAGGACCGCATCCTCTTTCCACGTTGGGCGAAGGTCACCAACGCAAATTACGCTGCTCCAATCGTTTCTTTCCACGTTGGGCCAAAACCACCAGAGCAACAATAGATGATCTATGACCGCACCTTGACGAATCTAACTTGACTGACTAGTTCTGCTGGTGGTTGCGTAGTATGCGTCCACTGACTGGTTCTAATTGTAGTTGTAGTGATGGCTACACTATCCTCTGCAATGTCTGCTGAGGCGGCCTCTTTCCACGTTGGGCTAAGGTCACCAAAGCGGAATGAATTACACTGCACCGATCGTTTCTTTCCACGTTGGGCTAAAACGACCAGAGCAACAAGAGATGATCCTATGACCGCATCTTTACCTTGACTGACTAGTTGTAGTTGTGTTGTTGTGGTATGCGTGCTAGAGCTGTTGTCTGCAACTTCTTGTTGGGCCAAAGTGACCAAAACAGAACGACGTGATGAAAGTTTGCATGCAAGAAACAGCATCTGTCATGTCTGCGCCGCACGGCGTTGCTGCAGCGCAGTTCAGCCCTGCCTCTCGATGACGAGCAAGACCAGCACCTGGCCGGAAGTGTGTGTGTGTGTGGAATGCAACAGGCCGACAGAAGAAAGTAATTAAACATGTCAAAATCAAACATGCCAAAATCAAACATGCCGAAGCACGCGGAACGAAGAAACATGCCGGAAGGACCGCATCTTTGCATGCAAATGACCAAAATTAAACTTGCCAAAATCAAACAGGCCGAAGCACGCGGAAAGAAGAAAGAAACATGCCGGAAGGACCGCATCTTTGTATGCAAAGGACCACACTTAAACATGCCACAATCAAACATGCCGAAGCACGTAGCAGTCCGAAACGAAGACACATGCCGGAAGGATAAACTTGCCAGCATCAAACATGCCGAATCACGCGGAAAGAAGAAACATGCCGGAAGGACCGCCTCTTTGCATGCAAATGACCAATTTCACTTGACTGACTCGTTCTAGTAGAAGAAAGTACTCAAACATGCCAAAATCAAACAGTTGTAGTTGTGTTGTAGTGGTATGCGTGCTAGAGCTGTTGTCTGCAACTTCTTGTTGGGCCAAAGTGACCAAAACAGAACGACGTGATGAAAGTTTGCATGCAAGAAACAGCATCTGTCATGTCTGCGCCGCACGGCGTTGCTGCAGCGCAGTTCAGCCCTGCCTCTCGATGACGAGCAAGACCAGCACCTGGCCGGAAGTGTGTGTGTGTGTGGAATGCAACAGGCCGACAGAAGAAAGTAATTAAACATGTCAAAATCAAACATGCCAAAATCAAACATGCCGAAGCACGCGGAACGAAGAAACATGCCGGAAGGACCGCATCTTTACATGCAAACCTGCCACGCAAAGTGCCGCGGCGTCACAGGCGCCCAAGCCGGTCCAAGCGCGCCACCCAGTGCCATCTGTCCCACACCTGCCACGCAAAACGACGGTGGATGTGACTTTGTGCCACGCCTGCCACGCAAAGTGCCGCGGTGTCACAGGCGCCCAAGCCGGTCCAAGCGCGCCACCCAGTGCCATCTGTCCCACGCCTGCCACGCAAAACGACGGTGGATGTGACTTTGTGCCACGCCTGCCACGTGAAATGAAGGTGGATGTCAGGTTGTGCCACGCCTGCCACGCAAAGTGCCGCGGCGTCACAGGCGCCCAAGCCGGTCCAAGCGCGCCACCCAGTGCCATCTGTCGCACGCCTGCCACGCAAAACGACGGTGGATGTGACTTTGTGCCACGCCTGCCACGTGAAACAAAGGTGGATGTCAGGTTGTGCCACGCCTGCCACGCAAAGTGCCGCGGCGTCACAGGCGCCCAAGCCGGTCCAAGCGCGCCACCCAGTGCCATCTGATCTGTCGCACGCCTGCCACGCAAAACGACGCTGGATGTGACTTTGTGCCACGCCTGCCACGTGAAAGAAAGGTGGATGTCAGGTTGTGCCACGCCTGCCACGCAAAGTGCCGCGGCGTCACAGGCGCCCAAGCCGGTCCAAGCGCGCCACCCAGTGCCATGAGTGCCACTCCTGCCACGCAAAACGAAGGTAGATGTAACTTTGTGCCACGCCTGCCACGTGAAACGAAGGTGGATGTCAGGTTGTGCCACGCCAGCCACGCAAAGTGCCGCGGCGTCACAGGCGCCCAAGCCGGTCCAAGCGCGCCACCCAGTGCCATCTGTCCCACGCCTGCCACGCAAAACGACGGTGGATGTGACTTTGTGCCACGCCTGCCACGTGAAACAAAGGTGGATGTCAGGTTGTGCCACGCCTGCCACGCAAAGTGCCGCGGCGTCACAGGCGCCCAAGCCGGTCCAAGCGCGCCACCCAGTGCCATCTGATCTGTCGCACGCCTGCCACGCAAAACGACGCTGGATGTGACTTTGTGCCACGCCTGCCACGTGAAAGAAAGGTGGATGTCAGGTTGTGCCACGCCTGCCACGCAAAGTGCCGCGGCGTCACAGGCGCCCAAGCCGGTCCAAGCGCGCCACCCAGTGCCATGAGTGCCACGCCTGCCACGCAAAACGAAGGTAGATGTAACTTTGTGCCACGCCTGCCACGTGAAACGAAGGTGGGTGTGAGGTTGTGCCACGCCTGCCACGCAAAGTGCCGCGGCGTCACAGGCGCCCAAGCCGGTCCAAGCGCGCCACCCAGTGCCATGAGTGCCACGCCTGCCACGTGAAACGAAGGTAGATGTGAGTTTGTGCCACGCCTGCCACGTGAAACGAAGGTGGATGTCAGGTTGTGCCACGCCTGCCACGCAAAGTGCCGCGGCGTCACAGGCGCCCAAGCCGGTCCAAGCGCGCCACCCCAGTGCCATGAGTGCCACGCCTGCCACGTGAAACGAAGGTGGATGTCAGGTTGTGCCACGCCTGCCACGCAAAGTGGCGCGGCGCCCCGGCGCCAAATCCCGGCCCAAGGGCGCCACCCAGTACCATAAGTGGCACGCCTGCCACGTGAAACGAAGTTAGATGTGAGTTTGTGCCACGCCTGCCACGTGAAACGAAGGTGGATGTCAGGTTGTGCCACGCCTGCCACGCAAAGTGCCGCGGCGTCACAGGCGCCCAAGCCGGTCCAAGCGCGCCACCCAGTGCCATCTGTCCCACGCCTGCCACGCAAAACGACGCTGGATGTCAGGTTGTGTGTGTGTGTTGTTGTGTTGTTGTGTTGTTGTGTGTGTGTGTTGTTGTGTGTTGTGTCTGTTGTGTGTGTGTGTGTGCGTGTTGTGTGTGTGTGTTGTTGTGTGTTGTGTCTGTTGGTGTGTGTGTGTGTGCGTGTGTGTTGTGTGTGTGTTGTGGTGACAAAGTGTATGTTGATAAAGCGTGTGTGGACAAAGTGTTTGTGGACAAAGTGTTTGTGGACAAAGTGTGTGGTGACAAAGTGTGTGTGGACAAAGAGTGTATGTTGATAAAGCGTTTGTGGACAAAGTGTTTGTGGACAAAGTGTGTGGTGACAAAGTGTGTGTGGACAAAGTGTGTGGTGACAAAGTGTGTGTGGACGCGCGCCACCCAGTGCCATCTGTCCCACGCCTGCCACGTGAAACGAAGGTGGATGTCAGGTTGTGTGTGTGTGTGCGTGTGTGTGTGTGTGAAGTTATGTGTGTGTGTGTTATGTATGTTATGTTAAGTTTGTGTGTGTGTGTGAAGTTATGTGTGTGTGTGTTATGTGTTAAGTTTGTGTGTGTGAAGTTATTGTCTGTGAAGTTTGTGTATGTGAAGTTTGTGTGTAGTGTGTGTGGAGGAGGGTTTGTGTGTGTGTGAAGTTATGTGTGTGTGTCAAGTTGTGTTAAGTTTGTGTGTGTGTGAAGTTATGTGTGTGTGTGTGTTATGTATGTTATGTTAAGTTTGTGTGTGTGAAGTTATTGTCTGTGAAGTTTGTGTATGTGAAGTTTGTGTGTAGTGTGTGTGGAGGAGGGTTTGTGTGTGTGTGAAGTTATGTGTGTGTGTGTCAAGTTGTGTTAAGTTTGTGTGTGTGTGAAGTTATGTGTGTGTGTGTTATGTATGTTATGTTAAGTTTGTGTGTGTGAAGTTATTGTCTGTGAAGTTTGTGTATGTGAAGTTTGTGTGTAGTGTGTGTGGAGGAGGGCGGGAGGAGGAGGAGGAGAAGGAGGAGCCCGGGATACAGAATCAAAAACAAGAACCCCACACAAAGATGTGGGGAATTAGGGGATTCCCAAAAGCCCTGTTTTCTAATCCTCCTTCTCTCCTTCCAGTACAGACTCACTACTAACTGGTTTCATTCCATCGTATCCTGGAGAGTCAAGATTTAGCGACCCATGGAGACAGTGCCAGGAGGGTCCACTGAAGGCCGCCCCCACCCAAATGGGCCAATGGACACTGGCTGCCAATGAGAAGCGCACCCAACATCTCACTCATACTGGATGAAACTTCACCAGTGTTCTTGAGCTATCACTGTCAGGGTACTTGGGAGGGACTGACATTGGGGTCAGTCTT